CTGCTGTGACGCGCACTGAGAAATGGCACCACAGACCTGGCACACACAAAGCAACACTCACCTTCCCCCAAGTGAGACACAGACCCTACCACCACCCCGGAGCCACAATCCACCAAATCACTGCTGAGACACCATGGCGCAAAATGCGGCCCACAGCCCAGCCTGGAAATGGTGGCTGTGGGAGCCAGGTAATGATGTCACGTAGCAATGCCCAGCTTCCTCTCCCTAGTGACTAGACTCCTTAGAGTTCCTTCAACCCAGGAACATGACTTGCTTTATAGCCAGGTGGCAACATTTTCCTTCGTGTTGATATTTACTGTTGTGTTGCTGACAATTACCTGAAAGAGAAGTTGGGGTCCTCCACTGGGCTGGAAAAAGTTTAGTCAAATCAGAAAGCAGGTCTAATTAAGCAAGTTTATTCTATATCTATATAAGGCTAAGTTGACTGGCGCATGTGCTATACATATAAAGCTCTCGCTGGTGCCAATCGCACACGTGTGTTTTGATCTGTCATTGTCGATCGTGAATTTGGTTGACACCTCTATTATAGAGAAAGGGCAAAAAGCGATATTAAAATATTTCTTCTAATTAATTTCCTTTCAATGTGCATAAATTCGTGCACTGGGCCTCTAGTTCAGCCATAAAAATGAAGGAAGTCCTGCCATTTGTGACAACATAGATAGCTCTTGAGGGCATTATGCTAAGTGAAATAAGTCAGACAGAGAAAGACAAATAGTGTATGGTATCACTTATATGTGGAATTTTAAAAAAAAAAAACCAAACATAAAAATAGAAATCAGATTTGTGGTAACCAGAGGTGAAGAGTTAGGAGAAGAATTGCATGAAGTTGGTCAAAAGGTACAATCATGAGTTCTCTTTTAAACCTCCCAACCATCCATTTTACAGATGAGGGAACTGATTGATACCAGAGAGGTCAAATCACTTCCCAAGATCACACAGCCAGAAAATGACAGAACTAGAATATACAGCCAGGTGAGCTGGCACCCGTAACCACTAAGTAACACTGCCAAAACAGTGGGTAACAAGATTATATGTATATAGTTATAGTTACTGTTGTATTTAGAGGTAGGTAGGATGCGGAAGGCTTTATATATCTACTAGAGGCCCAATGCATGAATTCGTGCACAGGAGAGGGGGAATTGGGCCACAGGAGGTTGGCTGACCGGGGGAGGGACTGCAAAGGGAGATTGGCCAGCCAGGTGGGAGGGACCACAGGAGGTTGGCTGGCAGCAGGGAGGAATAGGGGGAGGGACTGCGGGAGGTTGGCCACTGGCCCTGAGAAGGGAACCGACCTTCAGCCCCCCTGGGAAAGGGGCTGTGTCCGCTGCCACCCACCCCCGGTTCCCTGTCCCAGCCCAGGCCCTAAGGCCCCGGCGGGATCGGGAGAGGAGCCAACAGTTGCCAGGCCAGGCGCAAAAGGAACGGATGCTGGATGCCAATGGCACCCTTGGCATTCCACCACTGCAAATTTCCCCACCTCCCCCCTCCTCCTTCCCTCACCACTGCACTACCACGGGGGGCGGGGGGCGGGGGGCAGAGGTCTCTGAGGAAAGGAGAGGACGGGAGCGAGACAAACCCTTGTGTCAAGGGCTGACTTACAATAGATCGCAGCGAGGGAGCTGCTCTGCTATGTATGAAACCTTGACCCAGAAGCAGGTCTCTACAAATGGCTTAGCACCAGGGGCAGATGGGGGCCGGCTGGCTGGGGAAAGGGGCCATGGGAGCACACTGACCATCAGGGGGCAGCTCCTGCGTTGAGCATCTGCTCTCTGGTGGTCAGTGCACATCACAGTGACTGGCTGACCAGTAGTTCCCAGTCATTCCATCATAACAGTGCTTAGGCCTTTATAGATAGATGATAGATAGATAGATAGATAGATAGATAGATAGATAGATAGATAGATAGATAGATAGATATGCTCTTATGTGCATAGACTCTGTGAAAAGATACATAAAGACTGATTATAGAGACCCATCTGGGGGCATGTGGGGGGACTGGTGGGATTGAGATTCTATTACTGCATACTTTTGCAACATCCTAATTCTTACACATATTACCTAGTCAAAAATACATTATGCAAGTATTCATTGAGTCACTAAATTCTAAGGCTGGGATGGACCCCATCATTTTATTGGAGGGGGTGTAAACTGAGTCACAGACTTGCCTGAGGCCACCCAAGTAGGAAGGAGAAGCCCTAAGGCACTTCCAAGGCTCCAGACTCCTAGCCCTGGTGTGCTCTGTTGCCGTCTCTATTCTCTATTTCCACCATAGCTGACTCAGCTGTCACAACTGGAGACTTTAAAAAACGTCCAATTATACAGAATTGGGGAGAAAATTATGATTTGGAATTCAAGTGTTGACATTTGAAAAATACCAACTCCCTTTCACTGCAAGTACTTTAGCATGTTACTAAGGCTCTCTCTGCATGTCTCTGGAAAGGTTATTTTCAGAACATTCCACTTAAACCTGGAGTTGCAGGGTTCTCCACTGTTTCTGGGAGCTGACACCACAATTTACATTAAACAAATGTTTTGAAAATTAGCTGTTCACGGTTCCAATTTCAGCTTCCCCCAGGGTTTAATGTTAGCCAAATATTCGTACAGTAAGCAGACAATGTGTTTTATTGTATGGAAGAAAAACAGACCACCATAACAGATTTCCTGCTTTTGTAATCAAGGGAAAAGTGGAGTGTTCGGGTGATTATTGGCATATGGTTATTAGAAACACTGAGTTCCAAATATAGCTACTAGGAGCTAAAGACAGACACACACACACACACACACACACACACACACACACACTGCTATAATTCCAAAAAGATAGAAAAAACCTTAGTGTTTGGTCAATTGGAAATTCAGAAAGTCATTGGCAAAACTACCAGGAGGAATCAGGGTGACAGATAGCAAGGTTCAGCCCACTGTTCCCAGACACACTGGAGTCAGAGAGGCCCAAACATCAATGAGCAGCAGCTCTGCAGGAACAAGGGCCAAGGCTCTGGGCACAGCCTGAGGACAGCTAGGCCAAAGAGTGCAGTTCTGCCCTGCCGGTCCCTGACTCCCTGGGGCCCATTATCAAGATATGATGGATTTGGCACCTTCATCTTCTTTTTTAACATTTAAAAAGGGTTGCACAGCCCTCAACAGCGTGGCTCAGTTGGTTGGAACATCGTCCCATAAATCAAAAGGTTGCAGATTTCATTCCCAGTTAGGGCACATTCCTAGGTTGTGGGTTCGGTCCCTGGTTGGGGCACATACAGAAGGCAACCAATCAATGTTCTCTCTCACATCCATGTTTCTCTTTCTCTTTCTCTCTCTCTCTCTCTCTCTCTCTCTCTCTCTCTCTCTCTCTCTCTCTCTCATCTCTCTCGTCTCTCTCTCTCTCTCTCTCTCATCTCTCTTCCGTCTCTCTAAAATCAATAAGCCTATCCTCGGGTGAGGATTTAAAAAATAATTAGTTAGTTAATAATTAATTAAAAAGGGTTGCACAGGTGCTTTTCTCCTCTCTTTCCCCATCTTGCTCTACACGCCGCCTCCCAAGCCCCTGTCCAGCTGCAAATGTGAAAGGGGGGAAAGAAACTGTTCAATCTGCTAAATTTAGAGTTAGCAGGACTGAGAATGAAGCACTGTGTGAATTCCCCTGATTCCAAGCCTCCTCCAGGACTTGTGAGCTAGGTGGAATGCAAGCGTCTGGAAATAAACTTACAGGATGCTCTTCAATACCAGATTTCTCAAAGAGCTGGGAGCGATTCAGAGCCAGGTGGGGTGAGATGGGGGGGTGGGGTGGGTGGTCTGTTGGAAAGAGGAATTTAGATTCTGATGTCTTCAGGAAAGCATTTGTTTACACCCAGAAGGAGGTACTAACAACATAGCCTCTTCCACCTCAACTAAATAAAGAGTGTGGATGGGAGGTTAGAGGTCAGAAAGGTGCCCCCATGTGGTGAAAGCCAGTGTGTCTGTGGCACAGACAGGCCAGGGACCTGATTTTTGGACAGGTCAGAGGAGGGAATATGCAGGATGTGACTCTGGGTCAGGGCCCCTGGAGCCCATCTGGGAGGTGACCTCACCATCTCACTCTGGTGAGAGGCGTGGGCTCTGGTAGGAAAAATGTCCTTACGCTGCATCAGTAGAACCCAAGAGTATTTCCAAGAGTTCTTTTTGAGGGTCTTACAAAACAGGTAGGTCACATTCTGCCAGAAGTAATTTCCTCCAGTATGGCTGGAGAAGGATGACTCCTGAGGGGGCGCCGCAGGGTAGCACAGCCTTAAAATTCCATCTTTAAAGACAGAGCTTTAACTGCACTGCACCTCTGTTTGTTGGGCCTCAAAGCAACTGTGACAACTGCTGAGAGGCAGGGCGCAGTGACGAAGGAACACACTAATGAGAGGAATTCGTTCACCACAAAATGATCAGCACCCAGGACCTAATCTCAGTCCAAGTTGGGTCTAGCAGGAGGGCCTGAATAATGTGTCTGTTTTACTCCTTAACAAGGCAATCATTCTAAAAAGCAAACTGTTTGGACTGTCCCTGCTGGAACATGCTCAGAGTAGGACAAGCAGCTATGGCAATGCAACATCAGTTCTGAGAGTATCAGGAGCAAGTGAGCAGCTGGCACCTCTGGGCAGGACTCAATGGTAGCTGTCCAAGCATCAGGAAGATCCTGTACACACAGGTCACTTCCCACAGGCATGGGCATCTCCCTGAAAGGCCAGGCATGAGGTCCTTCCATCCTGATCTTCCTGGCACCCACCTCACATACTCCTTGCCTGCAGGAATCCAGTCCCCCAACCATGTCCAGACTCTGCCCCCTTGAGTAGGACTAGCCCCTCTGTAACCAGATCCCACATGTTCCTCTGTAGTGCTGCACCCCATCGGTTGGATG